CAGTGCTTTGCATTCGACAGATCCGACATCGACCACGACTTGTATGTCCTCTCCGCGCTCTTCCGCTCAGTTTGGTCGTCGCTTGCGATCCCTCCAGCTATGCTTGATAACGAAAGACGAAGTCACTAGCGACATGACGACGAAAAGCGAGATAAATAAAGATGTCCTGGACGCAGGCCCGGCCCAAACGCTGGATGGCTAAAGGATGGAAAGTGTCGACCGAATTGGTGAGTGAGGCATATGCGGATATGCGGTGCACACCCACGGCCACAGATGCCACATGGGAAAGTGTGACATTCTGGGAACCTGTATCTTCGAACCACGCCGAGTTAGTAACCATTGGGGCCATCATGAAGCGTGGGCCGAGGCACGTAGTTCTCCGCGCTGCTGTATGTGTTGCCGCCGAGTCACCTAGCTCCTGGACCTAGCTCGCCGCATGAACGTCAACGTTAGAAACAACCCATGGCGCGGAGGAGCAACTTACTTCCCTTCTTCCCGCAACAGCAAATGGTGGCCTTGGCCCCCCTAACCGAACATGCCTGCCCCATGACGCCGTCACACACAGCACGCACGCATTCACCTCGCTCGCCCTTTACATGCCAAAGCGCAGCAGGTGGCGAGAAATCAAGACATGACAACGGCGGGACAGAGACCAAGTCGAAAGTGGGTGGTGTGATGCAGTGGCCGAAAGTGCGTCGAAAGCGGGTGTCTTTCAACAGCCGCTTCCCGTCAAAGATTGTGTCCAAATGGCCCCCAAAAAGTTATGGACAAGCCGGGCGAGCATTCGCAACATGTCTGTCTGTCATTGCTCACGACATGTCGCGCACCTGTCGTCTGGAGACCATGGAACCAGACCGAGAGGCGCTTCCGCGAGAAGCAGGGCCCCTTAGATCAAAGCCGCCGCCAGGAACCTGACGTCGTCGGGGAATTCCACAAGGTCTCTCTTCCTCCCAAAGCAACGCTGTTTCCCTCACCAGGGACAGCATGGCGTGTGAGAGAGGATGGGTTTGCACCGTTCTTGAGACTCACTCACGCTCATAAACCGTTCTTTGCTTCTTCCCACTCTGGCCGGTATGAAGGCGGGATTGTCTGCGGGCCACTTGACTTCCCAACCCTGCTCTCCTCCCCTAGCTTTCTCTACGCCTCGTCTCGAGCATGTCCTTGTAAGATGAGGACTGCTTGCCCCCGTTCTGCCATCCTGTGGGTGGGGGCGTTTCCCGGCTCATCCATCTCCGTTTCAGATGTGTGAGCTACTGTCACACAGTGATAGGGGTGAGTCTTTCTGTTCTCGAGGCGTAGATGCGACAAGGGACAACGCGGTCCATTTGGGAAATCGTTTGGCAGACCGCGTTCGACTCGCTGCTGTGACCAGGTGTGTGACGGAAAACTGTAATCGGGCATTGCCATGGGCGGTCTTGGATCCCGAACACCGTACAGGCCCAAGCTCCCCGTCTTTTCCTTCCATATCCGTCCAATCCAGGCGTGCCAGCGTTGCAAGCGTCCGTGCCCGTCGTCGTTGACTCGCTGTCGCGTCGCCGATTCGTCAATGGGAGGACCGAGCGATATGGTATCTGTTCCCGTCCCGCATCTCGTGGCTTGCGCAGCCGCTTGCGTGGTGGAGGGAGGGCTTCCACGCGTTGGGACCTCGCTTGTATCAAACATCCCACTTCCGCGCTAGTTCTTCCATGTCGATTGTGAATCCCTTTCGCTTTGGCGACAGAGATGATACCAACAACAATGTCTGATTTTTCCGACAGGGCTCATCCCAAGACCAGACGTTGCATGAATACTGGTCGAAGCGTTCCGAGTGAGTGAGTGAGGTCGGGATGCGCCTGTGCCGTGTCTCAAATCGCATCATCCAAGCTTGTTGAACGGGTGGCAATGTAGGGCGGTGATCCTGCAATGGATTTTGGTCTCGTCTGTTCCGTCGCCGGAGGTTGGTTGGAGGTTGACTTCCCGACGCGTTCATTCCGAATCCGGTGACGAGGTGGCGATATAACAAAACACATCACGACTTCTCTGCGTTTGGCTTGGTATTCGTCTCGTGCTGACTGGTAGTGGTACCACGACCAGAGGAACGCCGCCGCGAGAGCTTTGGCGGACTGGAAAAAAAGACAAGACCGCCACAGATGCAGGGAAACATCGCCAAGTATATTGATTGTAGGGTTGAGTGTCGTGTATTCTGGGGTCCTGCAGCAAGCGTGTGCCGTGTACCGTGTGCCGTGCAGCGTGGATGCCAGAAACGGGGTCATCCATAACTACTCTATACCTAAGACCTTAAGTTCCATAGGCATATCCAATGAACTGGGGCGAGGCTCTTACCCAGAGCTGGCATCAACCCGTACGGCGGTGTGCATGGTGTTGAGGGTCAACGGCTGTCGTACAGTAGTAACAAAACAGCATACAGAGTCCTGATCAGATAGATTCCATGACTTGATTGATCACTGTCCTCAACTCGTTGATTAGTTTTGTTCCTTGGTTGAACAGATGGACAGATGGATAGCTATATTCTGTTGGAGGATCAAGGAAAAGAAAGGGGGTGTCCGACCCAGTGTCCTGCAGGGATCCAGCCAATCAGCAGCCAGGAGCGTCATCCTGTATAGTATACGGGTAAATCCCACCAATCACGTTTCAGCCTGTAGACTCCCCCCCATTACAATAGTACCAAAGGTGGAGAAAACGTACCCTGCAATCTCGGCTGGCTGGGTTTGCCTTTCTGCTGGTCTAACTTGTGGGTCAGGCTGGTTGGTTCGCCGGCGCCGCGGGCTCGTCTATGGCTATGGGAGCAACGACCAACTGGCTCTGCATTTCCTACGCATGTCAATCTTCTCACATATATATCAGTGTGGGCAAATTAGCGAGGCACCCGCCCACACACACACACACACACACTCCTTGATCTGTTTTATATTTCTCAAGGAGGAATTTCTTGGTGGCGAGAATTTCATACTCGATCGTACCAGTACATCCGGGATCTCTTCAGCGCCCGCATTGGTATTGGTCTTATTGTCCTTTAGTTTAGAATAGCAGTATTTCTTTTGTTTCTTTCTCCTCTTGCCCATTCATACTGTATGTGTAGATGAAAAGGCCTGGAACGGTGTTCGGTGTCCTGGTTTATATTGCTTTTGCCCGCCTTCATAGTCGAAGTCCCGGCGTGAATTTCCTGGTGTGCTCTTGAGCAAGCACGATATCTCGACTACAAGACAAGGGCCCAGAGCCAGCATGCATGCTTTTCTGAATTCTATACGTCGTCGAGCAAGAAAAAGATACATACCACTCATGCATGACGCACGCCTTGTGTGCGATGCGTTGGATGTTCCACCCCTCGAGGGGCTTCATAGTGTTTGAACACGCAACGTCGTCATCGTCTACAGCGTTGTCGTCCGGAGCAATGTTGTCTTTGACGGTGGCGGGCGTCTCCATGCTTCTCAGCAAGCGTTGCCCTCGACAACGGCATCTCCGACACATCGTCATCTGCAATGTTCACTTCTCGAGCTATTGGGGGCGATTGGAGCGATATATTTTCGGCAGTAAAAAGCGTCTCCACCGTCGTCTCCGAAATCTTTGGTCCGGAAGTAGAATTCCCCGAAAAAATCCAAAGGGCGAGTTTCTCGGATTAAAAAGCGGAGCAAAAGGAACTCAAGACTCGGACAAAACGGTGGAGCGTCTGGTCTACCCAAGTGGCAAGGCCGGCTTGCCGGCTTAGGCACTGCCCGACCCGAGTACAAGCAACTTTGCCTAGACACTCCTAGTTCCTTGCTTGGGCTTGCATCCACGCGTGGTTCGCCAATGCGGAGTCGCTTAAAAAAAAAGGGGGTGGCGGTGCATTAGTGCAGTCCAACTGCGGTTTTTCTTCCCGCTTACTAAGCATTGCGTCACTGCTGCCGAGTACCCACAATTTCTTCCGACACAATTAATTGTCCTGACTACCCCACACGAGGCTGAGCGCACACATATCTCTCACGCCGATGTAGTTACTCTATCTAGTTAGACTCATTCGTCTCAGAATTTATGTCATAATTGCACCCTTGGGAGCGATCTCTTCTGTTCAAGGCTGCGCCGTGATAACTGTCTGTGTACTGCCTGTACTTGGGGTCTCATCGTGCCCCTTTTCCTCCTGCCTTTGTTTTGCCGTGGGGTCCCAACAGCGTCTGCCTGCCACCGTGGCAGGAACTTTTCAGAGTTTTTTGTCTTTTTGTTGTGGACGGAATCAATCAGAACCTGGTTCCCGCCTACTTCGCCGCCTCGTCCTGTTCCACCGAGGGTATGGTATCGCCCGAGGGCTGTCCTCGACGCGCCTATCAATTCTCACTGACCGTCTTGTTGTTGCTAAGTCCCCTCTCCCCTCCCTCTCTCGTGACCGGTTCCTTCGTAGTTCGACTTGGCGGTGTCGTCCCCCCGTCTCACATCTCCCAACCACGATGGAGTCATCGCCGACCGACCTCAGTCCTCCGGGACTGTGGCGATGTGCACCGTGCCTCTTTCACTGACACCTTCATCAGAGGCTCTGCCTTCTGCCGTCCATCCGGGTCGTGTTGATGTCCGCATTGAGGCGCGGCCTCCCCGCCCTTTTTTTGTAGCCCTGGTCCTGCCTGGCATGATTACAACACCGGGGGCCCTTCTTCGCCGCCTCGCCAACCACCTTGTCGTCCCCCGCTGTAACGTCCTCCACCCTTACACTGCCCCGAGTCCGCCGTGCCTCTTCTATTTCTCCATCCCCTGGCCTGCATTCCGCGAAAGGCTGAGACTGATTGTTCAGTCCGGCCACGGGGGTTGGGGCACACTTTTTTTTTTTTGGTTTTCAATGCCCAGTAGTCAGACAGCAGCTGACCGAGTCCCGCGTCCAAGAGACTCTTAGAAGTTTCGTACGCGCTTGTACCCTGATCACACTCCACAAAGTATAGACTCGATGACTAGAGGGGCTGGTGGGTTGTTATTTCCTGCCAGTGCGTGGGGCTATGTGTCGTCTCCAAGGATAAGCCCATCGTCGTCCCCAGCGTTCAGGCATATTTGAGGCCCGGAACGAAAGATGGATCATCCTCGTCGTCCGGCGCCTCTGCGACCTCGTTCGAGGCTTCCAGTGCGTCTTCCAGGGTTGGCCCCACTTTGTTGGCACGCACATCTGGCTGCGCCGCGTTGTACGGATCTTGTATCGTCTCCCTGTGAGCGTCCTCCGGCGTCGCATAGTAAGGCGCGTGAGAACCCATCGGGGTCGTGGACGACCCGCCTGCGACCTCCTGGGGTCCCAACGGGCTTTCCGGATAATGGTTCACGGTGGTGGCAGGCCATACTGGCCATCTGTTCTCGTACTGCATGGGAGCGTTCATCTGCATGGGCTGAGCATTCATCTGCATCGGAACGTCCGCTGGCCGCTGAGTCTCATACCAAGGCGTCATCGTGGGCAGGCTAGACCCTATCGCGGCCCCGGGGTCTCCCGCCCAAACATTTTGGCCACGTAGGTTACTATGGACAGGGGACCCGAATGCCTGGTTGTAGGTAGAGTTGACGCCGTTGAACCATTGACCGGGCTGACGGGTCGTAACGCCAGGTAGACTCTGGTTCGGCGGCCAAGGGATTGGCCTGGCGGGTGACAAAGACGGAGGTGAGGTTGTCAGCGCCGCTGCGACACCCGAATCCGAGAGAATATGTAACAAGTTGCTCGACGCCTGGCCGCCGGTAAAGTCGTCTCGTGGGGTAAGTTCGACGCCAAATCTAAGCGTACTGGAGAAAAACTTGGGCGCTTCATTTAAGTAGATCCCGACACCCGATGGGAGCCCGTTGCCCCAGTTCCGGAACATGCGTGTCTCTCTAATGGCGGACATGGGGTACTGAATCATGAGCCAGCTCTCGGTGCCCGCGATAGAGTAGTTTATAGTTTGTGTGTCCGGCGACCGGGCCACGATGACATCTTCCGACTCCCAGGTGCCAATTCGAAGGTGGCGGCATGCCATCCGGCGCACAGACGCTGGCGCGATGTATGTTGGACTTTGTGCGGCGGACTTGTCTTCCTCCGTCAACAGCGTAGCATCGTCATCCTGCGGCGTCGGGGGCATCTGAAGTCCGCTCGGGTTCTTCTGTTTCTCCTTAGCACGTCTGCGGCGATGTTAGTCGCGGTTTATCAAATTCTCCGACACGGGCTGTGCCGCCTGCATACTTGTTGTGGAACCAGTTGTAGACGCGGCTCCCGTCCAACCCCAGCTCCTTGGCCATCTTTTCTCGATCTTCTGCTGAAGGGTACATTTCTTCTGCAAACCTTGCCTCAAGAAACGCGAGTGTAGCTCCCGAGAAAACATGCTTTTTGGAACGTTCTGCCTGCCCATGTTCGTCTGCGGGCTCCAACTTCCGCTTGCCGCCCGGCGGCGGCCCCAGCGGCGTAAGGGGGGACTGCCAGTTGAGCGTGTATGGCGTGGCAACGCCTAACGGGGACGACGCGGGAGGATTGAGAGCGGTGACATCCTCACACTTGACCTTGTGGGAAGATAAATTCCCCGAAGAGTGGGGAGGCGAAGGACGTTGTTTGCCCGTGCTGCTGTGGGTCATGCGAGTGTTCATGTTGGCGACCTTTTGCGCGTCGCGTGGTGTTCCTGCGTCGTAGAATGGCAGTTCTGAGAATTGGGCGTGAAGCCTTTACGTCTTGCACGGAAGAGACGCGCGAGACGAAAGAAGAAAGGAAGTTGACAACAGCAGCAAGGAAAAAGAAAATGGAGATCGGGGCTGCCAGCGTGTTGGGGAGAAAGGAGATATTTCGAAGCAGAAGAGGAAGAAGAAGAAGAATGGCAGCAGAGGGAAAAGGTTGAGGGGCAGACCGCAAGAAAGCCGCGCAGTGCAGAAAGAAGAGGCTGGATAAATCAGAGAGAAGACCGACGTGGTACAGAGCAGGCTGCAATTAAAACGCAGGGGGAGGGATTTTTTTTTTCACCACGTAAGGCGTCCAGACCCAGCCTCTGATCCGTTGAACAATCCAATCCCAGGACGCCACGAAACACTCCCCTCCGGCTCTACGCCCAGGAGTGTCGTCCAATTGGTTAGTTGATCTACTCGACTCCCCATTTGGTCCACGTATTGGGCATACGATTGGCACGCCGATGGGCTGTGATACCGAGTGCATCACCCTGCAAGTGTGAGACAGACAGGTGGAAATTGGTGCGACAAAGGGTGGCCTGACCGAGCCTGATTTGGGGGCGGAACAAAATTTCTTTCACTTTGTGACGTGTCATCTTGGTGACTGCTGTACATGGGTCTTCGGCCAAATGACACCCCCAATCGGTCTAATCCTCTACACCAGCACATCGCCCCAGTGGTAGACTTGGCGGATTGTGCATTGCAACGTGGCACTGTATGCGGGTGGTTGCCTAGCGGATCAGCGCCCTACCCCTGAGTATTCGCTTGGGAGGTGTTGGAGCCTCATTGGGCGCAGCGAGAACAGTGCCAAGAAAGTCATGGCGAGGGCTGGAGAGGGCTGACCATCAACTGCACTTTGCCTCAACTCGACCCTGCACCCCTGTATCTCTGCGCCCCAACGCCCCAACGCCTCTACACCCCTACGCCCCCCTCTGTTCCGGCCTCGAGTGGTAGTACCATGGCTCAATGTCAAAAGAGCTCAATCGTCTTATTGGATGCACCCTTCGTGCCGTGGTTGCCTTTTTTCCTAGCGCAGCCCAGGCCTTGGGGACAGAGCCGCATCCTGACCAAATCTCATAGGTCAATCAATCAATCAATCAAGGAGGAGGAGGAGAAAAGGGGCTTCCCCCAGGCAGGTTGTCTTGGTGGAGGCTGTGTAGGCTGCTGTACCACCATGTCGCGCCCGTGAAACCGTGAAACCGTGGTAGGAGCTCACTCACTCGTCGCTCGGGGACCTCGGGGACCAGTCAACCCCCTCCCGAGTCGGTCGCGCCCTAGGACAAACAGGCGGTGAGTAAGGGGGCTTGGGCATTGCCAGCGTTGCCATTGGTAGCCAAGCGTGATGCAAAAGTTCCTCTGACGTAATTCTTGTTTGCCAAGCGTTGGTGAAAGTGCCCCAAGGTTGCCCCAATTCTCAGGAGGTGCCACACGTCCTGCACGCGTCCTGCACGCGTCCTACTCTTCATCCTCCTCAAGCTCGCCTCTACCTCTACAACAGCTCAGGCACGGACAAGGACATCAAACAGTGACCGCCTTCCCAACAAAACGCACGGATCTTCACCGCTTTTTTGTCCCCTTTTTCGCAGCCTGGTCGAGACTGGTGCCTAACAATCCCCCCTGCTGGTGAAGGTGGAGCCATGAAAATTCAGATCAACCGTCCAGCATTACCCTGGCAGGGCGCCAGGCGTTCTGGTGGTCGTGTAACACAGTTGTGTTGGCGTCCATTCTGGCAATGCGGCTCTGCAAGGCAACAGCTATTCGACTGTTTGTTGTGTCGTACTTGTGTGTTGTCCTACCACCTTGCAGACCCCCCCGGCCGTGCCAACGAAGTCGTACTTGGGCGTTGTCCTGCCACCTTGTCTTAAATCGTTGATCTCTCCTGTTGTGTCTACGATGTTTTCTTCCACAACCCTCCACACATTTCTGAGCCAATGGCGAGTCCTCTCGAGGAGCTTCTCACAGCGGCGGCAAATGACCCCGACGGAGACGTGCAGCCCACGTATGACTTTGTCGGAAACCTCTGTTACCGCACCAAGGGGGAAGCCGATCGACCAGCTGGGCTCAAGACCATTCTGGAAGGGCTCTACTTATCCATCACGACAGAGAACTATGAACATGCTGAAAGATGGACCGAAGCCCTCGAGGTCTGGATGAATCTGGAACACACCGTGCCGCGAAAAGTGCGTGTAGCGTTGGCCAAGATATACTACGACTTGGCCTTGACGCCCGGTATGGATTCGAGTGCGGCGCAAGTGTTTTGCGACATGGTTCCTCGCCTTGTCAGGTATGTTCAGCTTTCCTGGAGTTTGAAGTTCCTTTGCAACAGGGCTAACCCACGCTGTGCTGTGACAGCAACGCCGAGGGCGAACTCTGTCTCGACCCAGGAAAAGATCTCACCCTGGATTGGCGGACGCTTTTCGAACGATTGAAGCACGATTATCTTCGAACCTACAGCACCATTCTGAATGCAATCGACTATGACGACCTCGCCCTCGTCGCGCGATACTTCTTTGATCCGGGGGAGAGGCTGGCGGTGGCCGAGGAAATTCTGCCCTACTTCGACACGGGTGATTCTCAGGCCGCAGTTAGGGCAGTAATTATGATGGGGTTGATGTCTCCGACGCAGCCTGCTCCAGAAGCGTCCTCGGACTGCCAGCCATCCAGTCTTTTACCCATGCACTTTTCTCTCTTCGCCAAGCTGTTCCGGACGCAAGTCGCCACCGCAGTCCTGATGCGGATCGTGTCACCACTCGCCGAAAATCACTTGACATGCAAACATGTCCCCTTTGGGGCTTTTGGCATTTTCGACGAGATGCAGTCCCGCGAGTTGTTTGCCGCCATCTCGAGACTCGCCCTGATCGACGACAGGAGATCCGACGATTCTTTCGACGACGGGTCTCTCTCTTGGTCCCGCCGAATGAGGGCCGCTCGGAATGCTGCCGATTGGATCGTCTTCTCGCTCTCACCCCTGTGCTTTGAGAAGCAGAACTCAATGTTGTCGGGCCTGGAAAGTCTCATCGCATCCATCACCGTCTTGTACCATCCCAATTCCACCATACGCGCGCAGTTGGACTTTATCACTAACCTCCTTTGGCACATCATCCACAGCTTCTGCAGGCGATACCACCGAGAGCAGAGCGGGGAGCTCGATACCCCGCCGGAACGCCGAATCAACGACGAGTTGAGAGGAGCGTTTGTCCGTTTGCTGAGAGACCCGATTCTCGCGGGCTGCTTCTCCATGTCCTCGGACACCCGCCTCAACTGTAGCAATGCCGTCAAGCCGCTGGCCGACCTCGAGCCAGGTCTCATCATCCCAACCGCCCTGCAACGCTTCTACGCCAGCCATGACAGCATGGTCGACGGTGACGCGGTGGAATTCAGCATGTGGCTCTTGGTGGTGCTCGGCAGCACCATTGCACGGGAAAAGGGACTGCGGTGCCACCTGCCACACCTCATGAATCTCGCCCTCTCCGGCATCAATGCAAGCCGCCCGGATCTGACCAAGGCTAGCTGCCAGTTCATTCGGGTGGTGACTTGCGACCCCCCGGCTCCCCATCTCCAATTCGCCAAGCCGGGCACGGGCAAACCCAAGCATCCTGATGCGGCCAACGCCTGGAAAGCCTGGATCAAGGGTGAAATCGACCGCCTGAACGGTGGGGGTTCTGTCATCGATCTGGACTATCGCAAACAACTCTCCGACGAGGAAGAGATCGACCTGCTTCAGTCCGGCTTCAGCAGCGTCGAAGATTTCACCTTGCGGCTCCTGAAATGCGTGTTCAAGTTTGCGTCCGACGCCTTCCATTCCGACTTCGTGGCCGAGAGCGCCACCGGAGCAGACCAGAACGAGGCTGAGCTGGATGTCCTCGAGGCGGTGCTGTCTTGCTTTATGTCGTTGCCGCCCGAGATGCTCGAAGAGGCCATGCTGGCTCTGAGCAAACATGTCTTATCAGATCCCATTCCCGAAGCAAAGGATCTGATTTCGTCAGTTGTCGTGTATGCTGTGCGAGCCGATCCGAAGAGAGGCCTCCGGATACTTCTGCCCGCGCTGGTCCATCGTATCCATAACATCATCAAAGAACACTGGATCGAGCCGAGAGTCAAACGTTGCAACATTTTGGCGGCGGACGACTACCTCAACTATCACGTCGAGGTCCTCGGCTTCTGCCTCATGCGCGGCGGGTGCGAGCTTCTCTTCTACAAGGGCCAGGTGCTGGAACTCACGCGCTTTGCACGGGATCAATGTGGATCACGCGCGTGCGCCCTCTGCGCGAGGCTCAATGACTGCATGGTCACCGGCTTGGTGGAGACCTACCCAATGACGTGTGCGGTCACTTATGATGGCCAGGGTGAGGTGGCTACGACGGTTGTCGCATGGCACACGCCCTCACCCGACGAGCTTCGAGCGGCCTGCGAGGTGTTCACGTCGGAAACAGCCTGGCTGGGAGAAACAATAGATGCCCTGATGGAAGATTACCCGACTTCGGCCAAGGAGCGTGGGACTTGGGGCCAAAGCCTCAACCAGGCCGTCAAGTACCTCAACAACATTCTTTGCGGCATGTCGCCCGTGTTCGATCCAGGCCGCGAACCTGCCGGCGGGAACGATGACAACTCCTGTGACGAGAATGCCAAAGTCGAGGCCGCCTTGGTCTCAGCGCATGTGCAAGAGTTCCATCGTGTGCTGGGGCCCGATGACCCTCTCTATGACAGTGTGCACCAGCGGCGGAGCGAGGTCGGATTGCTAGCCAGCAAGATCCACGCCTTCCTCCTCAAATGCGAGGGGGAGCACGTCGAATGCCTGCGCGAGGTGTATAGGCTCTGCACTACCTTGATTGGCGACGTCGGGCGATGCCATACACATCGGGACCCACGAGAGGCCCGCAGGGACCACAAACGCTGGGCGAAGCGCTTGGACGTCGAGGGACGCGCGCCAG